AACACACAGCAAAAACTCTCCCTAAACTCTTAAAACAACAAAAAAATAGACTTACATGAAGAAGAAATGAAATAAAAAAGAAGAAAACAAACACACAAAAGAAAGGGGTGGGGAGTCAAGAAATAATCAGAAATTAGCCATTAAAATACTTCCAAATGAAAAAAAAAAGCGAAAAAGCAAGGAGAAGAAAGGCGGGCGGCAATCCCAACCCATCAAACTCCCGCCCCCAAGCCGCTTGGCATGGGTTTCTGGAGCAGCCTCAATTGGGCAGCAGTGGCAGTTCCCGCTGCGGAAGGCCCAGATTCTGTGTCTCAATCCAACATCTCGCTCTCGCTCTCGCGTCAATATCCTTACAACTTGAGGCCAGAGTTGACCGCTATAGCATGTGGAGAAAAAGCCTTGGTCTTTGTGGGAAATAAAACTACTTATTTTGCCATATTATGGAGGTATGTAAGTCAAGTTCCAAGAGCTGAATTAGACACTAAACTTTGTTGACTCTTTGTGCATAACTTGTGAATTTCTTGTGGCACCATTTTCAAGTTAAAATTGTCAACTTATCATCTAATTTTTGAATTATAAAGAAAATAATAAAACATGATTGGAATGAAGCATGAAAAAAAATCTCACTTTAATATTACTTTAATTCAATATTTTTTTGCTTGAATATAAATCTTTTTAGCCCTCACTTGGAGGAGACTTGCTTCTGACATAATCGTGATGCATAGAATTATTAGCAGGTAATATTTTGCCGTTTTTTTATTTCTCACATCTAATTTTTAGACGTACTTCGAATGCGTGATTAAGTTCTTCCAGATATGTTACAACTTAAAATATGCCATGAATTCAGGCTTCTAAATTTGTGTTATTTCTAAAAGATGATCATTGAATTATCATATGTCGGATTTTTTGTATTCTCCATTTTCATCTAAGCAATGAATGTTATCTAAATTTAGACGGGTAAACTATAAGATTAAATGTGCGTATGATTTTGTGCACCCATCATAAGTTTTCATCCCGAGGCTCAAGCAACTTACATAATATCATCCAAGTAAGAAATGACAGCAACATCATCTAGTATCTTGAATAGTGAACGTAATTTGAAAAAAAAAATAACAGTAAGTGATTTTCAACTATTGGATCTTAATATAATTTGGAAAGCACTTTCTAAGAAGAAATTTCCAAAAAAATGTCCACAACTTGGAAAAGAGACAAAAAATACTTATTTAAAAAATAGGGAAAAAAAGCATACTCAAAAGCAAGAGATTTTGAAGCAGAAGAAGATAAAGTAGTTGAGATGGAAACAAATGAATTTGAGGCAAAATTCAGCAGCAGAATATTTAAATTCATGATACTTACAGTCAAATAAGTTGGAAAAAAAAAAACTGTCTTTAGGTACAAGGAGAATTATTAGTAGAGTGAAAAAAATGTTTATTGCTTATACGAAGATGACATTTTCTAGGCTTATAACAACCTAGCCTGATTTTAATATGAAAAGAGCTTTCTGAAAGGAGCATGAAACGCAGAAAATCTACGGTGGTGATCTTTCAAAGAATTGGAAGTGTGGTTGGCACTAACATGCAAGTTAGAGGTATACTGAACCAGACAACAAGAACAGAACAATTTTTTTTGTTGCTGCTACTTGAATGGGTATAAGTTAGAGAAAAAGATCACATATGTTAGAGAAGGCAATACTCTATGGAGTGAGCAGTCACAAATTTCAACTTCAAACGATAAAGATAATTCATCGAAACCAGAAAATCTAACCAGCAATAATGAAGATAACGCAATCTAAAGGAGATTAAAAAGAAATAAAAAGATAAGTAACTGGAGACAAAATCAAAAAGAAATGACGATTTACATACATACCACTCAATTCTTATGTATTTACATGTCTAACACAAAAATTTCAATTTTCAAGTACATTCCACCTTCCCAATGCATGGAAAGGTGTATTTCACTTTTTAAAAGGTAAAATGATGACATTTTGTAATGTGGTATGAAAGATTTGAGTGGTATAAATGCAAAAACTTAATGTTCAGGTGCTAGATATGTAAATACATAAGAATTGGGTGGTATGAATGTAAATGCCCGTAAAAATTTTAGTTTGAGTTGGATGGCTTTCTATTCCTATTGACTAAGGCCAACAAAAAATGGATATTTAAAGAAGACCTTAATAGTGTTCGAAGGAATGGATTTCCAACAAAAGTATTTCTTAGCACATCTTATATAGATTTAGTATAAAAATTTAGATTTAGCATAAAACAATAAGCCTAGTGATTATGCTCTAGGGTCTCTATACGGAGTATTAGGATCGATGAAAGTGTTGGGTTTCTTGCTAGAATAAAAAGAATAGGGAAATAAGACAATAGATTAGGATTTGGACAAGGGAAGCGGGACAGCTGCTGTCTCAGAGAAAAGTCAGCAACGATGAGAGGTCGGCGATAGGCGGGCATTAGGTGGTTCCATCACCTACTATTGATCAAGATGCAAACTCATCATTTGAAGGAAAAGAAGGCTGTGACTCTTAAGAGCATTAAACCAAAAAAACAATTTCTAAATTGCATAAAATCAAGCCCAAAAAAGTGTCTAATAGGTTCTAAATCAACATACTTATACTAAGATAGAAATTAAACCTTAATTATAAATTAAAAACAAACAAATAGAGGCCCACAAGGCTAGTCTAAGCAATAGAAAAAATCTCCCGCCCATGGGCACATCCCACATGATTATCCCTGATTAGGAGGTGCTTTGCCTTCTTCTCTAGTAGCTTTTGGACCCTTATGATACAATGACAAGTCAAAATTGTTAAAAAAAACATAAATCTTGTGATCTCCTGACAAATCAATCTTATATGCATTGTCATTACTCTTCTTAAGATCATAAATTGACCAACTCTAAGCTTGAGCTTTCCAAAAAATAATAAAAATACAATTTAAACTACATCAATATAACAATCATTCTAAACAATCACAACATGGATGATAGTCCAAAGTTATCTTCAAATTAGATGGATAAAAGAAAATTCTTCGAAAGTTATTATATGCTTTATTCCAAAAAAGTTGAATTTCCTAAAACAAAATTAAATGGAGTTTATTCAAAAATTTTGTCAAAATGTCGCAAATCAAATAATATAAACTAAAAGAACAGTATTTATCATTAATTGATTATAGGGATCAATTGTATGGTAAATAAAAGAACTATAAATAATATGAAAATAACATTTTTGAATACTTTCTTAGCTATGAAATTTTGTAACCAAATAATATCTGCTGGACATTATTGTGTCATCAATATCTATTTAATTAAAGCATTAAGCAAAAAATTAAGTATAATTTAAGCTGCAAATTACCATAGATATGAAGGTATTGTAACCAAGAATTAAATTCCATTCATCAAGAAAAGACAAGAATTAATTTCTTAGCTATTAAATATTTCTTAAAACCATTTGGGCTATTAGTTATATTTTGTAACTATATATCAAAGCATAGAATACAAATTTTTTATATCAAACTTACACTGGATAATCTTCGTTCTTTGAACTGATTAACCACATTCCTAAAGCTTCATCATATGCACCTCCTGCTCTTTCATTATGCATAGTAAAGCTTCTCATAATTCTCAATTGCTATGGTCTAGGGTTCTCTTTCCCCTTTCCCTTCTCTCATAGCACAAATTGGTGCAAGCTGCTCGCCATGGGTTGTCTTTAGGCATCAGCATCTCATTTGCTCTCAGTACCTTTGGTATCGAAGTTGGCCCTCGCTATGTCATCTTTAATTTTAGTGTTGGCTAGAATTTTTATTTTATATCTCGCATTATTTGACATGCTCATTCTCTTTCTATTCACAAATAAAAGATGTTATGCCATACCATTTCTTTAAATACATTGGCACTCATCAATCCTAACCACCTCCTTCCTTATTGATTACTCCCGAGATTTTGGTTGAACCCCCTCTCAGCATATCATCATAAGACATTTTTTTAAATCAGATTATACCAAAGTTTTCTAATGATGCTCATACTATATCAACAACTTTCCCATACGCATGCTAAAATGGTCCACCCATTTGATTATTCTACAAAATCCCTTATCACATCTTTGGCTGCATTACTTCATATATTCTACATTACTCTCTGTGGTATCTTTGTTTCTTTTATTCTAAAATGGTCCACCCATTTGATATTGTGATAACTAGTCATTTTAGGCCTTCTATACATCCCATGTTGATAGAGTTGTTGCATGGGCCCCCACCCTCTAGGTATTTTTGGGCATAAATTCTTAGTACTTTTTGAGACACATCCTAGACTAAGGAATTCTAAATATCAAGTGCACGGCCTTCCATTAAAAAATAATACTCAACCTCCTCCGCCATCAAGTTTATTCTCAAACCTTGGTTCTAAGTTTAAAGTCCCTTCTATACATGATGGTTAATATTCCTCTAGTATTGGACACTGCATAATCTATTGATATTATCACTAAAAAAAATCCTTAAGTTCCTGATAGACTTCATAGCCACCCAATTTGCAAACACAACAATAATAAGATATCTTAGGAGATTTCTAATTCAGATCGGATTATTTAAAGTATTGATTCTCAAATTGTTAAGATATTTCATATTTTTTATACCAAAAGCGACAATAAAAATAAAAAAAATCTATCAACGATCACCTCTATTTAGTAAACTTAAAGTAAGATGATCCAAATATATAATTTTGTAATTTTTATGATAACTAGAATATTGTATCTTTGATCTTTTGTTATCTCTTTTCATGCTACTGTAACTTTCCTTTCTATAACAATTCTTCATAATTATTTTATTTGTACTCCTCATTATCCGATTAACATATTTTGTTCAAAAAGACCTGAATGTTAAGAAACAATTACATACCACAACATTACTTAAATAGTTTTTAAAAGTATATATATAAGAAACAAGATAATATTGGTGATGGTAAAATAAAATAACACTAACTCTAAAGATTGATTGAGTGAAGAATTATACTTTATGGTAGATCCACCTTTTCCAATAATGGCACCACATGAACTATTTGGAACAATAAGTCTCACTTTCATCCTAGTATCAGCCTCATGATTTTCTTCATCCTATATAGATAAGCAAACAAACATCAATGCAAGATCGAGTAAAATCATAAGCAAGATTGAGTAAAATCATAATAAGGATACACAACCTCATTCAACAATTTCTCAAGAATTAACTCCATCGCCTTAAAAATTTCATTAAATCCTCCCGAAAGCATGATAATCCTATCAGGCGTTCCAGGAAAGAATTCATGGTTTCTTGATAACTGAATGCGAGCCCCAGATTGTGACTGAAAATCAGTAATGGTTGATCCTCCCTTTCCAATGATTGAACCAGCTGAAGTATTTGACACAAGGAATCTTATGTGTGTGGTTTTCTCCTTATCATCTGATGAGATGAAAAATAGTAATTCAATGAACATAGTATGAAATCAAAACAAAGCGAACTAGTCTATTGAGTGCATGCAACGACCTAAAAACAAATGCAGTTTGGCTTGACAATACAGCACCCTTTTAAACTTTTATAAACGCTAAAGAAAAGGAATGTATTCACACTTGAATGAAAATCCCCAATAAACAAAATTTTTACCACACAAAAAATTTGGCTATTGTAAAATTTCGACTGATAATTATGTATAATCCAAATATTTTGAGTAAACTTATAAAAAAAATATATATGAATCCTTAACTGAAGTTTTGATCTATTTATAAATCTAATTTAGTTTGCTAAAATGTAATCCATATACATCCCAAGATTATTAACATTCAAATTACTATAATTCAACAGCCAAACAAACTATAAAATTAGATAATTTTGCATCATTAGACATAAATGATTTAGACTTATACAACAAATGATAGAAATAGGTTCATCAGATGAGAAGATAAAATCAATAAAAGAACATTAGAACAGAGGAGTAAATCTGAATTCATATACATAGAAGATGTGCAAAATTGTTTGCAAAAAATAGGTTAAACTCTTCACACAAAACTTAACAAGAACAAATAAAGAAGTAGAGATTCAAAAAGTAGGCGTCAAATAATTCGCAAGGATAAAGATGATAATGATGAGGAAGATGATGGTGCTAATGATATTTCTACACCAAGAAGTAAACAGCAATCATTGATTAAGAAAATAATGCAAGAGAAAGCAAGCATAAAAGTAAAACTGACTGAACCATGCAAATACAAAATAACATTACATAGGTCCTAAGGCAACTGTTATATCAAGTACACAAGAAGAGAATATGAATTAAAACCCAGCAATTGATAATTAGCTTGTTGCTAAAGTTTACAAATCCTTCTCTATGCTCACTAATTCATTTCATTAAACGTGCTACATACGAATTCCAAACATTGCAATTTATGAAGATTAACATGTAAATAGGCAAGTACTTCAATAACAAAAGATGCATCGAGGTTAATATTTATTAAATGATTTGATGTCATACTTTTAATGACATGTATAATTAAATCATCTTTTGGTAGCTAAATTATCAGTTTAAACAGATTTGTATAAATACAAACAAAAAATTAGCCTTTTATATCAAAAAATAAGCGCACCAACAACTTGCTGCAGTGGTATTACCTTGGATATTTACAGTGGAGGTCTAAGATGCAAATCCTTGCAAAAAACAAGAAAGACAAGTGCACCCAATGCACAAAGACGGCTCCAACTATGGGATCTAAGAGGGATTGATTCAAATGAATCATTTAAGCATTGCAAGCTTTGTGAAAAAAAAAATAACTGGAGCCTAATCTTAGATGATAAGTTCATTTTTTACATCAAACTCTCTCACCTAAATCTGGACAAGACTGCTGAAAATTTCAAACTCAATTTGAAAATAGGAGATTCAAAATTATGCTTCGCACTTCATCAAATTCATGTAAGGCTCAAGTTACAGTTTGCTTGAAATGGTTGACCCCTCATGGAGACCGACTTTTAAATCTCAGAAAACAAGTTCGAAAGGAATTATATTTCCTAAATCAAAAAGGTATGAGCCCCTTAAATAATGAACAGCGTTTATTCACATGGCAACAACAAAACCATGAAATTTCACGGCAGCTTAAGGCTCTGTTTGGGGCGGCTTTTCTCACGCGGCGCAACAACAAATCGCGAAAAGTTACTGTTTGGCTTCCGGCTTCGCGGCAGAAGGATGTTAAAGCGGGCGGAAAGCGGGCCGCGGGATCGACCCGGCGGCCCCAGCTTTCGCCCGCTAAATATTTGTGATTGCCGCCTCTGCCCTGCCCTAGCGTTCTTTTTCCCGCGCCGTCTCGCCTCTCGCCTTCGACCAGGACCGCGCCCTCTCCTCTCTCGCCTTCAACCAGCCCTCTCGCATCTTGTCGAATCAATCTTTTTTCGTCTTCTCTTGCTTTCTTAAAAGGTAATCGATGAAAATATGGAGTTCATTGCGATCTCCTCTCATTTGTTTTGCGATCACTTGTTCTCTCGATCTCCTGCAGTGCAAGCCTCTCAAGATGAAAATCTGCATATTTGATTTTCATCGTTGGAGAAGCTTTTCATTTATTTTCTGCAATTTCCTGTTTTTTTTTCTGCTGTGCAAAATGGATGTAGAATGCATATTTGATCTCCAATCTGAAATACATCACTCTGAACAGTTGTTTGTATTGTAAATTCCAGTTGAATGAAAAGGTGTAACAGATTTGTTTCGTAGGCTTCCAACTCGCTTGTCTGATTTCCATTCATTAACAGTTTTGCCCCAATTCAAAAATAAATATATGACTTTTCTCTTCTGAAATAATTTTGCAGTGCAAGCCACTCTAGCATCCTTCACATTTTCAGAAAATGTATTTTTAATTTGTGCATCTCGCTCATATGTTCCAACTCCCCAATCCTATAACCATTCTCAAATAATTTTATTTACGTGGGGGTGATAATTGAAATAATTCCTTTGCATTTGAAATGCTTTATCAAGTGGGGAGATATTTGACAAATCAAGGTTCTATGCATGCATTTATGAAATTAAGGATATTCTATAGTTTGCACCTTCACCCCACTTGAACCCCAGTGAGGGATTTTTTTTTGTCTGTAGGAATTACACAGAATAACATGGACTGTAGGGAATCTCAGTGGCTTTAAATAACATGGATTGCCAAGCAGAATTTCACGTGTACTGCAGGAACACCATTAGTATCTTTTCTTTTCTCTTATTAGGAGTAGGTCTTATTCCATGTTCCTGAAGGATTTATGATTGAGACCTGTAACTATGTGAATCTTATAGTAAGGATTCATAACCATTTTCTATCAATAATGATATGTAAACACATAGGAATTGGGTGGCATGTTATACATATTGATAAGAAGGATATGGTTGGTATTAATATAAAAAAAAAATCAAACTTTTGGTGGTAGATATGTAAACACATAGGAATTGGGTGACATTATACAAAATGGTGGTATTTTTGAATGGAAACCATTTACTTGGTTTCCATTCCAGCTTCCCCATGCATTCCAATGGAATTTACAATCATACCGCTGTTGTTAGCCTAGCCAAAATACATTTAGATGGCTTGTTTTTTCCATTTCTCCTTTATATAAGTTTCAATTTATATTAGTTTTTGCCTGCTTACATTGGAGTACCTTTGTAACATGATATGGCACCGAATTCTTATATATTTGCTTTGGTTTGCTTGGAATTCTTATAGCAGAATTGTATGAGCAGAATTCTTATAGCAGAATATAGCCTCTTTATTGTGTGGTATGTATGTAGCCTCTTTATTGTGTGGTATGTATGTAGCCTCTTTATTGTGTGGTATGTATGTAGCCTCTTTATTGTGTGGTATGTATGTAGCCTCTTTATTGTGTGGTATGTATGTATAGCAGAATATATACATTATTATGCATATATTTTGTTGGAGTTGCCCTATTTGCCTCCTAATCTCAAGAAAATGAAGATACAAAACATCGGGTAGAAGGCTGTTTTGAACTGCAAGTTATTTTTTTGCTTTGGTTTGCTTTGAAGTACAAAACATCAGTTGATATAGCACCGAATTCTTATATTTTCGCTTTGGTTTGCTTGGAATTCTTATAGCAGAATTGTATGACCAGAATTCTAGCCATTGCATGCTTATTTGAAATTTAAAAAATCTAGCCATTAAAGATTGCTGCCAGGAATCATTAACATGGTATGAAGGTTTGAGAGGTTTTGCAATTAGCCAATTTATGCTTAATATTATACAACTTGCAGGTTTTGTAGTTTACTGATTTTGGTCGTTTGCTCTCTATAGAATGAGCTTTCTACTTATAAAACATACATTGCAACAAGTGAGCTTCTTTGCAACATAAGAGTTGAATGAAGTATGCATTAGCTTATAGATATTGTACTTCTTATACTTCTTATACTTCTTACACTTCTTATATAGCTAATGCAGCAGGTTTGGTAGTTTCCTGAGTGATATAATTTTCTGTTTCCTATAAGCATATTTTGCAAGGTTGGTGGAATTTGAAGAGCACGTGTTTGCCTATAAGCAGTTCTGTCTCCTATTTTTTTTCCTTAAAGTCGCTCGACTTGACATGGCCAAATGTTTGTTTAACTTCATCTGCGGTTCATACCCAACCTGTCGGATTCTGCCCGCTACATGGAATGCATTATCTTACTTTATGAAGAGGAAAGAATTATAATTTGTACAATTACCTTAGATTGTATGTATTACAAAAAGATGGAATGTATGAAGATGCCCCAACAATTTTTTTTTTAGTTCCTTTATCGGTTGGTTATAGCAAGGAGTCATTGTTGATTTGAATCTATATAACTTTTTTTCTATTGCCTCAATAAAGATGTTTGAATCCTTTCCCGTGGATGTAGGTCACTTCGACCGAACCACGTAAATTTGCAGTGTTTTTTAAATACTTGTTCTATACTATCTCTGGTCATGGTGCAACTTCGATAACATTTGTGTTAATGTTAAAATTCTTTGTAAACGTGCTCATTTATAAAATATGGAGGTATCTGCTTAATTTTGTCTTTCAGTGGTGTGAAGTTTGGGATATGGTATTTTTTTATGCGATAAGCATATCCAATTAACATTTGGTGTCCTTTTTTCATTTTTTTTACTTTCTTTAATCAATTTTTTAATCGAAAACTATATTGTTGTGTTTCATATCTTTGCTTCGTCGTAGTAGTAACATGGCTGGTAAGTCTAAAGAACATGGTTCACCGGCAATCTGGGAAAAGGAAATCAAATTGTTGTTCTGCGACCTCTGTATCAAAGAAATTGAGCTGGGCAATAGACCGACAACCTTTTTCAATAAAGAAGGTTGGAATAGTATCATTAAACATTTTAAAGACTCCACCGGACGGGAGTACGACAGGCTGCAAATGAAAAACAAATGGGATCAACTAAAGAAAGATTGGAAAATTTGCTAAATTACACAATATTGCATTGCTCCCACGTATAAAAAGTGCACAGAGTGCAAGGCAAGAATTTTGATTGGCCTATGCATAGAAAACTATCAGCAAAACATGAAATTCCCAATGATGATCTTCAAATGAATCTGGGTCCACGGCAGAAGTGGATGGCTGAATCAGCCATACTAAGCTTTACAAAAACAGCAAAAAAACTACAACCCCAGTACCCGGTAACAACAAAGTCGCCATTTTAAGCCTCCACTATCCAAAATATGAATACTTTTACCCTTCAAGTAACTTATCCACATCACACACCATCACAAGCTCACTGGTCACCTCTCAATTCTCAAATGCGCCACTAAAAATACAATCTTTCCAATAACTGCAATTTACTCCGCTTCGATCTAAGATCAAACACGTGTAAAACCCAAGAAAGTAAGGAAAGAACAATAACGCGTGATAAGAGGGAAACTCACCAGCCGACGGGGAATCAGGGTGAAACGACGGCTTCGAGCCGCCATCACGAGGAGAGGAATAACCCAAATCCGCCGAATCCATGTCACGGGTGGCGGGTAGGATGGGGTGGAGGGGGGTGAAGAGAAAAGCGTGCACAAAATTCACAGCATTCGAATCCCCAAACGAACGGGGATTTTGCCCTCTTATGGCCTCTTATTTAGTTCTAGGTTTTCTTGGTCTGCTGGCGGCTGTCTCTCCCATTTCAACCTCCAATTCCGTCCATTTGCAGATGTTCTGTGCAATAGTTGAAGAGTTTAAAAATAGGAATGGCGTGAACCTCTTGATTTGATTTGAGATTCGTGCTTGCAGAGCCCTCAAGGCATTGAAGGCTCTAATCTTAAAGCAAAATGACGGTTATAATCGTGCTTAGCTTAACTTCGCAGATTTCATGATGTGTATGAGATGGGAGGGTGCCTTATAATGTCCCTTCCGGTTCATTTAAGTACAAGCAACCCGAACTAGGGGAAATAATCTTCTACGAGATCCTACGATCAATTGGAAATTTACGTACATACCACATAATTCTTTGCGGCATTTTCATAAATACCATGCAATTTTTATGTATACCATATCAAATACCGAAACTCTAATATTTATATATATACCGCAAATTCTTAACATAACATCAAAAATATCACCATCATTATTCTTTTAAGTTAAATGCATATTTTCATGCATAATTTTATGACAATCACAAAATATATTATAAGTATAAATAGTAAATTTTTTATGTTATATATATATACATAAAAATCATGTGGTATGTATGTAAATTTTCCTATTTCTTTTACATATCTAACTGAGGAATTATTTCTAATTTAAAAAATAATATCTTTTTGGTTCAAAATTAAATATTTGAGGGTTATGTATATAAAAAAAAATTTAATGCTCGATATTTAAATACATATAATTGTGTGGTGGGTAGGATTTACATGTATACCACTCAATTCTTTCTTATGTATTTGTATATATAACATCTATATTTCAATTTTTTTCATTATATGCCACCTCAGTTTATATATATATATATATATATATATATATATATATATATTTATATGCATGCATATCATTCAAAACCTTAATATCACATTCAAGATATCATCATCACTACCTTTCTAAAAAGTGAAATACATCATTTTATGCATAAGTTTATGAGACCTTGATGTGATAAATACAAATATCAAATGTGTGTTAGATATGAAAATACATATGAATTATGTGGTATGCATGTAAATTTTACTGAAGATTATTTGGTGAAAGTTCAATAACTGCATATGTTTGAATCCCAAAATATCGGTGTCCTCACACAAACTAGGTAAGATCATATAAGAAAAGAAAAGAGGAAGAGCAGAAAGGAATGTAAATGATGATTTATAGAAAAATTTAGATGTTACGGAGAAACTCTTCCCCTTTATCTCGTGGATGGCCTCCCATTTGTATAAGTTGGGCAAGCTCCACATAGAAATGATTACAAAAATTGCTACGAAAAAGAGTAATAAATAAATAAATACATTGAGAAGATATAATATTATATCTCTTAGCATATCATATGCAATAACATTGTTAGGCTGCTAATAAAATCACTCAATATTGTTGAGCTATCTTGTTAAATTAATATGTCGAATGAGACTATATGACTGCTTAACATGTGGGCTAAGTCAAGAGTTAATACTCTATATAATTGAATTAGCATATTTTATTAGGATGACTGTGACAAATTTCATATGCCAAGTTGTCCAATCGAATTTGTTGGATTTTGCGACAAACATGTGCATTCTAATAACATAGAATATTTTGATGAGATAACATGCTTAAAATTATCTTGTAATTTGAATCTTGTTTTCAAGCTTGTGTTGTTATAAATTAAGGTTTATCGAATCTAAATGGTTCTTCCAATCAACATAAAGATAATCTTAATGATGAAGCACCAACACTTAAACCTATTCCAACATAAGGAGGTGAGATCATAACTATTCTTATAAAAAACATTAACTATTAGAAGTTATCTTCTTGCAAGGGAGTTATCTTTATCAAACATAATATGAGAAAACAAATGTTAAACAAACAAAATTATAGGCAAGAAATTCCAAATGATAAACATTATTAATACTTTAACTTCTCAAGCCAAAAAATGATCAATTGATTGTATTAAATGTGAATTAAATAAAAAAAATGATAAATTTTAGAAAATAAAGAGTAAACTTTTTTAGATGATGAACTCTCATTAGTTACACTTATGAAAGCTCTAATATACTTTTAAAATTATTTGCATATGGAAAATGAAGCAACAAAATATCTTGGTTTGACTTTTAAAGGAGTGTATTGGAGTAGAAAATTATTATAGCTTAAACTAAAATTATTCAAGGCAACCACTTGGGTGGAAATTATATAATAAATCGTCTAGATATTTTTCTACCATTTGTGAAATTCAAAATTATCTTTTATTTGTAAATAAAATAAAGTTTGTTAAATAATGTGAGATTTATTTATTTTTTTCATAAATTATTATGATGATAATAAATATTAGATACTGAAAATTGATTTTTAGTGTTATAGAAGGTATTCATGTGTGTAGGATTTACATCTCAACCAGTTATCATATTAGTTAATTCTATGTCAAGTAGTTTAAAATTAAGGATGGACCAGATTTTCAATTAAAAATTAGAGCAATTTTTAATTAAATTGATGTAAATAAAGTGTGAATTGAATAATAGTTTATGCATTCACCTACACTATTTACTCCATTATAAACCTCATATCTTTTCATTAGTTGTTATTTTCTCCATCACGACCATCATAAAAGAAATAACTAAAATATCAATTATGTCATCCCAAAAATTTAGATTTAAATAACATATGTCATGAGTCAACTTATGAATAATCATATTTAAATATTTTTAATTATAACTATGAAATCAACTTATATAACAATTATATATAGATTTTAAATAACCATAACCCCTATTATATGCAACTCTTAGATAATTGTATTTGTATAGCTAATAATCATATTTAGGTTATGGATAATCAAATTCATATACATAATTTATAATAATCATGTCAACTTATACAATGCTCATTTTCAAATTTAAATAATCATATCTCATATGATGATAATAAATATGACTAAAATATTGATAGTGGTTGAAACGATGTCAAGTGTGAGGAATTTGTGTAAAATATATAAAGAGTAGTATATAAATTCAAACTGTGATATTTTTAGGATTGCTTCTGCATTTCGAAGAAAGAATAATTAGTCAAACAGCTAAAAATAAGTTTTAGTCAAGTTTATAAATTTGAACATATATTAAAGAAGTGTCTTTTGGTTAATTGGATGAGCTAAATGACCCTTAACCTAACCAATAAAAAGAACTTATGATGCGACTCCATCTAAATTTTTGGTGAGAAAAAAATTTAAATAATGAATCAAAATTATAAATTTGCCCAAATTGAATTGAAGAAAATATAACATTAAAATTGTATCCATTGATTATAAATGATTACAAATGTCACGAATTATCAAGATTTTTGTTAGTTTATTTTCTAGATATCCTACATATAACCTTAGGCATATTTTACAATTTTAGGAAGAATTTTTAAAAATGGTGATGACATCAAAGCAAGTGTTAAACTAAAAAAATATCAACACAAGCAAGAAATTTAAATGGAAGTTAATAAGATCCATTGTTTGCATCATAAGTTGTCGAGTAGGCTATTAGCATTTAATTGAATCAACTATGAATAGAATGAGGAATAAATAATAATTTTGAAAATAATGAAAACAAAACACATTTGAAATGAACTTTCTTTTTTTATACTTATGGAACCTCTAATATTTTTCGCAATTCTTTCGAAGCGTATGCATCTAAAGGTGCAGGTACAGTTCCTCAGGGATACAATTTTGCCCTAATCAATCGAGAAAGATTCATTTTTTTTAGGTTTTTAAACTTGATTTGCGAATGGAGGCACAAGGAAGTTACCAAACATACATTAGTTAGACATTTGAGCGCATGCACTTCAAGTTAGTTTATAAAATTTTAGAGCAGATGATATACTTAAGGCCCAACTTTTGAGTGAGACTTATAAAATAAAGAGTAAGAAAATTATTTACAAATTTTCAACTTATCTTTATATTCAAATTTGCATTGCATTTGTTAATAAAACAAATGAAGTTTAGTAAAACTGTGTGCTCAATTCTGTAAGCATTGGGAAAATTTAAATGAGAACAAAAAAATAATCTATTTAAAGCTTTTTAAAATCATAAGAAATTTTCCTTTGCCGGGATTTAAATCTATTCGAATTGCATTATATTGATGACAAAAAATTTTAATTTCTAAGTTAATAAGTTCTTCAATTTTAAATAATAACTTCCTTGTCTGATCATAATGACAATAATGGTGACAACAACAGTGACAACATCAACATAAAATTGGAGGAATAGTTGTAAGAGGTATAAAAGTGTGTCTAATATTATGTTCATTTTCCATACTTCAGAGCCACAACAAACTACAATTGGCAAAGTTCATGTTAAGACCTACCAAGCTGTATTGACCACCTATCATTGTGTTTTTACATTAGCCTATACATCCGATGGAGTTGGTCAAATTTTTATCAAAATTTAGACTCTTTAAACAGAAAATATTATGATTAAATAACACAAAAAAAAGGCAAAACCTTTATACCTTCTATTGTGCTATCATAAGACCCAATAACATTGAGAAAAACATTTGAAGACTTACAGAGTTCATAGACCTTCGTACACTCTATCTTCCAATATTTTTCACATTCTCAATCATCTCCACACAAAATTGTTGATTAAGAATTGAAGAACTTATTAACTTAGAAAATCAATGCTTCATATTTATTTGAACTGTACAAGATGCTTGTGGTGAAAATTAACTATTGAAATTGATGTGGAATCAGTTCTCACTCGTAATAACAAGCACTTTGCATTTACGTTAGCAGTTTGTCACGGAAAAATAGTCCCACATCGGCTAGATTTAGGGCCAAAAAGCAGTATTTAAGTCATGAGCTGCCCACCACCCATAAGGGCTCTTTTGGGAGGTGACAAGTGGTATCAAAATAAATTACTGTCTGTCAGGTGTGTGGACTCTCCATGTTCCGGTGGGACCCTCGGTGAAGCTGATCCGTGACGAGGGCGTCACGTGATTTGGTGGAGGAGAATGTCACGGACAAATAGTCCCACATTGGCTAGGTATAGGGCCGAAAAGCAGTATTTAAGTCTTGGGCTGCCCACCACCCATAATAGCTCATTTGAGAGGTGACAAGTGGAGACAATACTAAACACCTAAAGAGTTTTGTTCCAAGGATAGATAAAGACAAGTAAATCCAACACTACTTTGAATCATGGCACTTAAAAATATGAAAGTGCAGAAAATTTAGAGGAAAAGACTCAAATTATAAATAAAAGCTAAGAGTTAAAAGAGTTATTTCTGGTTGTTATCGAGAGCAAAATTAAGAAGAAAGATTTACATACATATCATTCAATTCCCATGTAGTTCGATATCTAACACCTAAACTTCAAATTTTCCCTAAAAAACTTTAGACATTAGATATATAAATACATACCAATCAGTATGAAAATCCTACAATAATAACATGGCAAAAACATATATAAAGTGCCTTAATTTATTTCAGCAGAATAAACATCCGGCAAAATAAACACATCCATAACTAAGAGCGATTATTGCGTGCGGAAAGCGCACGCAGAGCTGCGTGAGCTCTCCGATCACAATCGTGCATCGCGGCTGTACTGCCATACAGCCGCGATGCGCAGCTGTGATCGAAGAGCGCACCCAGCTTTGTGTGCGCTCTCTGCACGTAATAATTAGACCATAACTAAACATAAATTCCCACAAAAGCACTAAACATCATCACGATGACAACACAAATTTCTTCACTACGGTCAGCAAAATTAACATCAGGAAATGTAGTTTTATAAAATAAATGGACTACAAAAGTACCCCATAAAAAAAAAATAATGAATCTAAAAATAAACACCACCAAAATTTTTTTACAAAACGCACCTCAAACTCATCGCCCGTATTATCAAGAGATTAAATAATTATGCTTCTATATCGCCCGGCCAATCAGTCAAAATATTTCTTTATGTAATTACATTCTTTAGGCTGTCAATTAGAGAGGAAACTTACGGCTCAGGGTTCACGTAATAACGGTATTTTTTCTTTCTGTACAGATCAGGATCGTTGTCCTATGTGCTGTCTAGATGCTGGCGGCTCCCAAGTTGTAAGAAATAAAAATGGAGGCTTAATCAGCATCACCTGATATCAAAGATTAAGATGGCTGCTCGATAGCTCCTTCGTCGGGCACCAAGGCAAGTTCCTGCTGACGGTGGAGCATTGAAGTCCCATGAAAACTCATGGGCCGTGCGCCTTTCACATACTCTCGCAACTGCAAGTAGAGAATGCATCAAAGTTAGGTGAGGGATCATTTGGAATCACTTTTATTTATTATTTTATATTTTGTTTTGTTTATAATTTGATTCATATTTGACTATTTGATTAAAATACGATGGTTTTTAAAAATCATGAGACAATTATTTTAAGTGTTTTTAAATAAAGGGATAATTACATGTAGACTGCCAGAAACATTGATATTTACAAATTAAGCACCATGTTGATTTTTTTTTTGAAGTACCGAATTGATGGATTTACTAGTGCCCCAATCAAACTATTGAGAATTTGATAAAAATGAAAAACATGAGTTGGGGTTTTACCATGAATTTTAATATTGGAGCAACTTTCAGGTTGTCAGTAAGTAATTGCCCCTTTTTAAAAATATAATAATTTACTTTTAGAAACAAAAAATAAAAATATGTAAGATGCGCATCAAACAAACATATTTTTAAAAAACAAAAATCAAAATTGATTACCAACAAACAATGACCATCCCACAAACCCTAAGCTTTCAATGACCATCCCACAAAACTCATGTCAAATAAATTGGTTTTCTCACCTGGGCTGGTGTTACTTTGCTGAAGCCAAACTTCTCTGTCCAGATGGATTCAGCTTCTTCGGCTGCAGGGAGCACAAAGTGCTTGACATTGAGGGAGTTTAACAATCGCTTGATGCAAGAGAACAGGAATTGGAAGAAGCCCTGTGAAAACATGGCAGAAGAGTCAATAATGAAAAATCAGTGAAGAATGCTCAAGTAAAAAAATAATAAAAAGGAAAGTAGGACAATGGTTTATGTATTATATTCACGATCATAGGTACAAGACAAGTGCAACAACATTCTCTCAGCTACTAAATGTTTTGTTTTATTTATCCGCCTCTATTTATTTGCGCTGAGTGCTAAAAATAAAACAATAAAAACTCTATTTTGCTCATTTTTCAGCACAGCTTCTACCAACCATCCAAATGCTTCCACTTCTAAGTCTTTCTTGTATGGACATACTTCTCCATGCAATTCCACACAGCACAGGTGTATTTTATTAATAATAAATTGATGTTGCACTTCTTACTTCTCTAATATGATTATTTTTCTTTGATTTTGTCAAGTTTAATAAACAATTATCATGACGCTCACATTAATGTTAAAGTCAACTTAATCATCAACAACATGATTGCCAAATACTAAATTATAAATAGCATAGCTAGTCCAGCATCAATTTAAAAAATCTATTTTTACCCACTGAATTTCATTTATTGCAATTAATCACTCCATCCACCTCAATTTAACTCTAAAATTTCCTTATCATATAACAATTTTTTTTTTGTAAATAATTATCAATTTCATATTTCTTAATATTAAATATCACGAACTCGTACTTTGTTATACTCACTCTTATAACCCTCCTTTATCCTTTATAATTTCCTCTATTATTTTCAACTTACATTAATTCAAACAAAGATGTCTCGTTCATCGACAGTGTCACCTGTGAATACCACAAACCAATATTCCTAACTTGGAATATTGTTTGAGATAAATATTTCACAAATTGCTGGAATTACCCAGCTTCAGATGGATGATCTAGCAATGGAAGGGATGATCTAAGGATTCCACTTGCTTTAGGGTTCATGAAAATGGGGGCTCTCCATTGCATGTTGTGGGAAGCCATCTTAAGGAGCATGGTCCCAAGACTCGTCAACTCTCTCTCTAGTTCTCGCATCAGGAATGTAGCATGAAGGCAGATCTAGGGCTGGGATGCTCTTGGAAGGGATAGGGGAATGCTACGAGATTTGCGAAAAGGTATGCTTCATCATTTGAAGTTTGTTTAGTTATTTTTATGAGATAATATCCTTTGTGTTGATAATTAGAATAATTTATAACATCGAGTGATAAGCGAGATGGCATGCATCAGATGCACATTATCTAAAAATTCTGGACGGGCCACAAGACCAAGCTCACAGATTCTTATAATTTTAAAATGGATATCTCTCTGTACAAATATCAAACATCAAATAATCATCCTCTTCATATTCTTTAGAAGAAAGATTATGATTTAATTTCTAAATATATTTTGCATTATTTTCGAATATCTATTCACTCCCATTATTATTAAAGGTTTGAATAACTTTAACAAATGCAACAACGAGCCTTGATCCCACTAAGTGGGGTCAGCTACATGAATCATTTTTTCTATATTGTGTCATATTGCGCGTCATATTTTCATTTAATTCTAATAAATTAAGATCATTTTTTATACAACATGCCACGTCTTAAAAAATGCCTGATAAAAAGAGCCAGTCACATCAATGAGCCTCTTTGACTTTCATCCATGGACTATTTGAAATGGTTACTTCTTTGCAATGGTAGACGTAGTGCCAATCTACGCAACTCATAAGTGAGTAAATGAAAACCCCAATTACTCAAACTCACAAAGTCTTAACTACTAAACGCCTAAATAAATTCCCATGTGCCAATTTAACTACTTCAGCATGGCCATGAATCTGGGTGAAAGACAAGAAGAAAATTTTACTTTTATACCTAACAGTTCTCACATATCCTCAAAAAAAAATGAGAAACAATTCTCACATCTCTATCTAATACTATAATGGAGGATAGGGCATGCAATCTGACAAAAAGAAAAGAATTCTTGTGTAATGCATCATGATCTTTGAACAATTCAAGAGTGTCATCTTTGAAACTTTATCATGCCCTATCAGTCTTTAGTCATCCTAAGATCAATTAAATTAAAAAATCTTCCCAAATTCTATAGAGAATGGTGAGCAATGGATTTCTCAGATCTCTATTTGATTTTGATGGCTTGCTTCGAAGTGTAAAACTGAGTCATTAATATATGAACATCCCTCTTTAACAAGATACAATAGAATTTAGAATTCATCCAATCAATAACACTATACTTGTAAAAGTTCACCACTATACCACCAAAAAGCAACTCAGCCACAAGAAACTCCCCAGGGGATGATCTAGGAATATATAGCTACTTCCCCTCATACAAGTAGCTACAATCATTAAAAATGAGATTCGTAATGAAAAGAGTCCGAGTAGATGTTCTAGATAAATGGCATAAAAATCTGGACAATCATTTTAAAAGAAGTTGATCAAAATCATGAAATTGAAATTCAAAAGATTATAATATCAATTCCACTCTAGAGAAAGCATCTATTACCTTTCACAAACTTATATTTCAGGTTAGATGAATAATCTTATAGGAATTCCATCCACACAGGCATAAATATGATTTAACATAATTTGGGAGCTAAAAAACTACAATACATAATGATTAGCAACAACAACAACAACAAAGCCTTAATCCCACTACGTGGGGTCGGCTACATGAATCCTTTTTCTCCCTTACGTCCTATTTAGTGTCATATTTTCATTTAGTTCTAGTAAATTAAGATCATTTTTTATAGAATACGCCCAAGTATTCCTAGGTCTACCTCTGCCTTTCTTAACCCAAGTCAAATCTAAAACATCTACTCTCCTAATTGGATAATCAGATGGTCGACGTTTAATGTGACCAAACCATCTAAGACGACTTTCTCTAATTTTGTCCATCACAGGAACTACACCAACCCTATCACGAATATATTCATTTTGCATTTTGTCTCTAAGTGTAAAGCCACTCATCCACCTAATCATTCTCATCTCGGCAACACTAAACTTATTATTATGCTTCTCTTTTAAAGGCCAACATTCAGCGCCATAGAGAATTGCAGGTCTCACCACCTTCTTATAAAATTTTCCTTTCAGTCTAAGCGGTACTTTTCTATCACACAAAAGACCGGAAGCATTCCTCCACTTCAACCAACCAACTTGAATTCTACTATTAACATCCCCATCCATATCACCATCGCATTGAACAACATACCCAAGATATCTAAATCGTTCACACCTTTTAATAATTTGATCACCTAAAGTCACACTTCTGTCACTAGAGCTACTACTACTAAAATTACATTCCATGTATTCTATTTTAGTTCTCTTTAAATGAAGGCCTTTAGACTCCAATGTAGACCTCCATAATTCAAGTTTTTCCTGGGTTTTTTCTCTCGTTTTATCCACGAGAAGGATATCATCAGCAAAAAGCATACACCAAGGTACATCCTCCTGTAGATGTCCAGCAAGACCATCCATAACTAAAGCAAAAAGATATGGGCTTAAAGTCGATCCCTGATGTAAACCAACAGAAATAGGAAAATATTTTGTCAATCCTCCTTCAGTCTGAACACAAGTAACAGCTCTGTTATACATATCTTTAATGACTTGAATATAAGTCAAATCAACACATTTCTTCTCGAGAACTCTCCAAAGGATATCTCTTGGAACCTTATCGTAAGCTTTTTCTAAATCAATAAAAATCAAATGTAGATTCTCCTTATTACCTCTGAACTTCTCCATCAAACTTCTCAATAAATGTATAGCTTCCATAGTAGACCTGCCAGGCATAAATCCAAATTGATTATGAGAAAT